CTACTATAGTATACTATATATAGTGTGTGTGTGTGTGTGTGTGTGTGTGTGTGTGTGTGTGTGTGTGTGTGTGTGTGTGTGTGTGTGTGTGTGTGTGTGTGTGTGTACTGACTGTTTGAAAGCTGGCAGGTAGGAGTAGATGGAGATACTGCTGAGGTTGTAGATGAAGGGAAGGTGTTTGGAAATATCTTTCGTCGCCCAGGTGTTAAAGTAACTGTTGAGGACCCCCTGATCTCCCCCTGCAGACATGAAGACATACACAAATGCATTTAAAATGTTTCTGCTTGAGTTCAGAGAACGCTTGTTTGATCGGATTTTTCTCCTGTGGTTGAAGAAACACATTCAGACCAACTATAGTGAATTCCTGAATGGTCAACCTGCCACACTCATTCCCAAACAATGTGTCTTTTCCGACTTGTATAACTAGAAAAGGAATGCTGACAAAGCCTTGAGAGGATGGCAGATCTATGTTACAGAGTTGAATGCAGACAAACAGAGGGGAGGAGGCAATGAGAAGACAAGGTCACACCAGGTCAGATTGAAATGAGGACATACTATACTATACGTTTGTGTGGGAAGAGAAAGAGAGGTCGCGGGACATTTTTATGCATTATTTAAAATATATGCTTTTCTCATTACAAATGATTGAGGACACACCTGCAGTTAACTGGCTCATGTTTACACTGCCGAAATAAAACTAGGGCTTATAAAAACTGTGGAATATATCAGAGTTTGGTACGTTTCAAGTCTTTGCACTCATGGCCCAAATCAAGGCTGACAAGTCCTAAACTGGGAGTTTTCTGTCCTATACCAGTTTAGGTTATTCACCCAATCCAGTGCAATTTGTCATTACTACAATTTGTTGTTCACCATGTAGATCTTGTATGCTTCTAACTCAGTAACGTAACTCGTAGGACGTTGGGCTTTAAGGTTCTCTCCTGCAACTCCATTGAAATAATCGAAATGACAGAGATTTAAAGTACTTGTTAAACCTCGGGCTCGAAACAAACTATCAAATATTTATAAGTCAGAACGCCAAGTCCAAGGGAAGCCACGAGTTGTTTATGTCAAATAGACTCAGGTCCTCACCAATGGAATAAAGTAATAAACTCTTCCAATAAGCTCTGTCCACCCTGTCATCCCTGCTCAGAGATACTGTTGCAGTCCAAGAGTATTTCACGAGTGAGTTATCCTTCACATTGCTTCCACTTGAATACATTCCTCTACTCTCTTCAGATTATGTTCTCGTGTGCACTTTTAGAAACGGAAAAAAAAAAGAAACACTCACCGTCGAAGCTGCCGTTTTCACTGCAGAACGTGATCAGCTTCTCGTGCGTCTCATTGGACGGTGTGAAGACAAACACCCCGGAGTTGAAACAATCTGGCCAACCGGGATCCGGCGCTGCTGATAACTCCTCTCTCTCGAAGAGTTCATCTATATTTGACAGCACCTGCAAATATGAGGAGTTTCATTCGTTAATATTTCCACAGAAAAAGCAGAAGTCTGGGACAGGTGTTTAAACTTGATGCCAGTTGTCATGCAGCTGAAAGATGATATCACTGCAAGGATATCAGATATATATCAATGTGCCGTGAATTGGATATTCAATGGTCCCTTGATGACTGAAGCACTCTTTTGTGCGCTAGTCAATATTAAAATTAAATGCAAAGTTAATTCTAGGTCAAATCTATGTTAAAGAGTCTTGAAAACATTGTCCTTAGTGATTGTAATTTATGTCCAAAGTCTATTTCCTTAATTCTTGTCTTGTTTGCAAATGGAGATGTTGTGATGCAAAATTAGGATCTGAAAAAAAGCCAGAATCAGATTGAAGGCTATTTAATTTGTTGTTCCTTCTTCTGTACGCTCTCTGCTATTGTCAGCTTTGTTTTCTCACCAGTGTGTCTGCGTCCATGAACACACACTTGCTGTAGTGTGTGAGGGTCCAGCAGTGCAGTTTTGTGAACGTGACTCCCAGGTCCGGACGTTTCATCAGGGACAGATGAGCCACATCGCCCGAGTCCAAGACGTCCACCACAAGCACCTCATCAAAAATGGTTCCTAGTACATCTCTACAACACAGAAGGGGAGATTTGTGTTAGTCGGATATTGCCATTTGAAAAATGTTCACCAAACTTCAGCCGTGTGTGTGTGTGTGTGTGTGTGTGTGTGTGTGTGTGTGTGTGTGTGTGTGTGTGTGTGTGTGTGTGTGTGTGTGTGTGTGTGTGTGTGTGTGTGATTACTATAGGTTATGCTATACATTACATGATAATACATGAGAGGTGAGGGCTGCAGGCTAATTTAAAGGTAAGATTAAACAAAGGTGGTTGTCATGGTTCTTAGCATTTAGACCATCTTACTGTTGGCTGAACTGAACCTAACTAAAACATATCTGAACATTCTCTAATCTCTATCCGTCTTTACCCTTAACTCTCCAAAACTCCTCAGCATGTTCCTGTTGCTGCCGTCTCTACTCTCTTTTCCCTCCCTCTCACTTATTATTCTGTCTCTATCTGCCCATGGTGTCCTCACTCGCCACCCTCTCCCGCTCTCTCTCCCTGGGACAGCAGATGGAGACTATGGCCCAGTTCTGCCTTTTGTTCTGGGTCCCCTGAGAGACCCGTGGCTTTTTGGACAGCACACAGCTCGCCTCCCCATATCTCATACAAAATGCAAGTGCCTTTCTTTTCATTAAAAAAGGAAGCTGTGGAATTCACATATTCTAAATGTATTTATTGAAATGAGCATGACTACAGAGGCTTGAAGCATTTGAGGGCACTATAAGATTGTCACACCTTTCCATAGCACATGGTTTTAGTATGGCTCTACTTTGTTAGTATATTGTCTGAATTACATTTAGATGAATTGATGCACTATTTTATTTTCTACAACAATTGGCGTCAAGAGAAATTCCTCAGGAAACACTTAGTCCTCCAGAAAGGTGGATTTATGGTGAGTTTTGTGGATTTTCCTATTCGATGTATATTATTTTACCCACAAAAGCATCCACACGCGTCAGTGCGTCTTAGGTTCCCCCTAACCCCTCTCTCTGTTGTTATTTTCCATAACGTCCGTATACTGCGTAAATAATTAATGACCCTGAAACCTCAGCCTGACCAGCATCCCACCTGTTGAAACTGTTTTTAACTTCCACCTTCTTTAGTAAACACCATTGGTTAACGAAACAAAGCATGTTAGTGGTGATTATTATTCCACATAGACCAAAGGAAAAACAAAACAAGAACATATTTTTTTGTGCATGTCCTTAATGCAAAGTGAGCTGTTTGTTAATCACTTTAACCAAAAAACGGTTACTAAAGTCATCACCCTAAACATAAGATATTAAACTCATTCTCAGCAAAGCTCCATTTGGATGGTTTACCTATAGCCTATATTTGCATGATAGTGCACACATGTCTTATTTAAATAAATATAAACAAACGTTTTCGTTGAGATCCAAAACGTCTATAAAACGTTATATTTATGTTGAAAGATAATCAATTAAATTAATATTGAGTTTTCGGACCTGGTTAGAGACTAGTAGCCAATTCACTGGGACCTCAAAAATGTAATCCTTATTTTTTAACTTTCGAAATCGTCATGCTCTCCATTGTATTTGAGCTGTCATGGTTCTCCAGTAGGCTATTCCTTTAAAGTGTTTACTGAAACTAGATATGCTTTCACGGCAACACGAACTCGCGGCAGATGGCTGTCTGATCATACTCGGATAAAGTTATACCTGCATAAATTCAGTTAATTATTTACCACGGCATCCTCATTATATTTCCCTTTATTCCCTGCCTTCAGGAGGCGAGCAAAGGGGCAGGAGCTGTGATTGGCTGAACACAGTGGGTGGGAGACAGAACAGTGACAGGTAGCAAACAGCTACTTCAGGCAGTTTCATTAATAATTTCGAAGTTACTTTTTTCCCCCGTTTTTGTATCGCGCCCCTGCGTCAACAAGGCTTTGGACACACTTTAGATTAGTCGCAAATAAGTTGGAAAAGAAACAACTTCGGCTTGCGCAGCAGGATAGGTTGCCAGTGAGCGTTTGGGTTGACGGAGAGAGAAAAGAAGGAAAGAAAAAAGTGTGTGTGTGTGTGTGTGTGTGTGTGTGTGTGTGTGTGTGTGTGTGTGTGTGTGTGTGTGTGTGTGTGTGTGCGCGTGTGAAAGGCACGCACAGGCCTTTCTTTAGTTGAGAAAGTGTGTTCCCTCTCGAGTAAGGTCCTCGGGGACACGGTGGGGACCCGCGAGCGCTCACCAGCTGACAGCGCGTGCTTCATTGAGGCCATCCAACACCTCGGCCCACGAGCCTGCCAACAATAGCCCGAAATTAATGCACGCTCCCCATTACCTATTCACCAATTGGAAGACATGGCAACAGTTCAGAAAAAAGATTAAAACTTTTCACAAAATTGTTGCAGGGAAACAACGCTGTGCTATAATGTAATTCAGTGTGTCTGTGCGTTAAAATTGCCATAAACATTTCAGTTTGAAACACAGGACTGTGGGCCAGGGGGCGCGTGCACCTGCAACATATGGCGAGCGAGCGCGTGTTGCACACTCACGTCGCCGACAGCTTACGATAAATTACGTAGGGCCGAAGTGTAAAAAGTTTCCTTAATTAAATGGAAAGGCCTACGTGTGTGGTTTAAAGTAGCCTATATGTGTCATTAACTTTGGTCATTCAACAGTAAACTTTTATTTGTTCTTCATTATCTGCTGAACTCCAACTTATTAGGCCCTGGACCCTGGCTACTGCGCCTAAGGCTAAATACATAGCCTACTTAAAGGTTAGTCTAAGGTAGCTTACTGCAGATTTCGTTAGGCAATATATGTAGGCTATGTGTGTATATATGTGTGTGTATATATATATACAAATATATCCAAATGTGTATACATGTATGGCAGCCATTCCATTCCAGTGTCTGTTGAATTCCAACACACATGTTGTCAGTATAGAATAAAAATAAAAATAACAATCATTTTACTCAAACACATACAGTAAAACCAGAGAGACTGATTATTTTGCAGTAGTCTCTTATTCTTTTCCTGAGCTGTTTGTGTGTGTGTACATATAGTTTGTATTTGTCTAATTATAAAATGTACCTTATTATTATTATTATTATTATTGGTCAATGCAATAGATGTAACCGGTTCGGTTTCTAACAAGCTCTAATATAGTCAATATTAAATTTACAAACATTCCCTTCAACCAATAATACTCCTACTATGATATGAAATATTATAACTGTCTTATTTTTGTATTTATTTTATCTTGGTGAAAATTATATGGAGATATAAAAATATAAATGTAGCCTATTTTAAAATCAATAGTTGATCATAGATGCGATTAGGAGGTTCGTGGAAACAACACAGAGAGAGAGAGAAACATGTTTTCGTTTGCTTTTTTATTTCCAAAATCAAAATAACATAGTAAATGGCAAAATTATAGCTCTTCCTGTAACTATGGAGTTATAAAAAGCAAATCAAATAAAAAATATCAGCAATAAATACATGTCAATTAATCTCATCCAGTGAAAGCAAAAGACACACAGGTTGATCTGAAAATACAAAAGAAAATATAAAAGAAGGCAGCATTGATGGCTACATTAAATAGGCTATTTGTATGGAATTGGCAGTAGGCTACTAAAGTAGCAAACAAAACAAAACATATTGTTCATGGTTTGAAAACAAAACTCGCATTTATCAAGCCTCCGGCTTGTATATTTTTAAAGTGCACATTATGAACTTTTAAAGTTGCAAAAGGAAATACATTATACTTAAAAATTAACAAATACAAACATAAAATATCAAAATCATATTTAAGCTACAAAATGTTATTTTTTGTAAATTATAATTCATTAAGTCATGATTCGTGGAAGACAGCTTTCAGTCGGAGTGACGTGGGAAATGCCCATGGCTGTGCTGAGCGATACATGGCAGAGGGGTCTTCCAGCCACGTCTCCATGGAAACTGGAAATTATGGGCTAGACAGCTATTGGCAGAACCGAATTAGGCCCATCTCACACAAAAAATATTAGATTAAGACTTACAAGTTGATCAAAAATGAATAAGGATATTGTTAAAAATGTAACATGATTTTCTTTGAGAAAGCCAAAACTTCCATGTTAAAACTGCATTTTGTTAGCAACATAAAGACTGTATTATTGACACTGTATGCTACGGCCATAATTTTGCTGTAGGCAATGTTGAGACTATAATAAAGTCTGTTGTTTTTAATAATATTATGTTTTATTATTATTCTTTTAGTAAGCAACAGTGTGTTGATGATGATGGTGGTGGTGGCGCGTTAGCTTGAGTTCTGAGAGGTCATCTTCTTCACTTGAGTGGAGCTCCATCGCTATTTCATCCGAGTCACTGAAGTGGGAGTGCGGGGAAAACTCTCCGTCGCTTCGGGGAGAATCTTTCCTCCCACCTCCGACTGGTGCAAGGGAACTGCCTGCCCGGGTGGAAGAAGGAGGAGAAGGCGAACGCATTGCTTCTTCAATAGCGGAGAACGATTCGTCGTCGAAGGTGGGGCGGAAAGGCATCCCGCTGATGTGGACAGCCGCTGCCGTCCTACAAGTGGTAGGGGACGGGGAAGCCCTGTCCTTCGCTCCGTCAATACTACCGGTGGCTGGCAGCACAGCGTCACACTTTGGCGAGTTGTTGCTGTTGTTTGAGACGTCGTTACTGCTTTTTTTTGAGGAGACTGGAGCTTCGAGCAGATCCGCCAGTGCGTTGATGTAAATCTGCGCCATCTGTAAAGTTTCATATTTGGAGAGCTTCTTGTCGTTGTCAAACGCCGGTATGACGCTGCGCAGCTCGTCAAACGCGTAATTAAGCCCGTGCATCCGTCTCCTTTCGCGTGCGTTTGCAGCCACGCGCCTCTGCTTCTGGACTCCGTTGTGAGGTCTGCTGGACTGGGCTCTCTGTGTCGTGGATGTTTCGTCATCGGACCCGGTGGCCGTGCTTTGAAGACGGCACAAGTCCCTGACTTTGAGCGAAGAAGAGGAGGGGCTCTTAGCAGTTCTCCTGCAGCTGGGAGGACTGGAATCCGGGGAACCACTCTCTGAAAAATAAAGAAACAAAAATGTACTGAACTGGTCCTGTTTGATTAATTTATAATAAATACAAAACCTTTTGACTATGGTTGTTGAAATAATGACACTCAAGCTGACTGTTAAGAAAATGAATTATAATTCTGCCTATTTGAGACCCATAACTATAACCCACTGCAAATCCCAGATGCCTGTTGCATGTGGTGTTGAATTGCAGGTAGCCTAATGTTGGTTTGAAATGTTGTCCAAAATGGACACTATTAGCAATGTTTCTCACCTTGGTAGGAGCCGGTGCTGGGGCAGGGCGAGTGCCGCAGGTAGTCGGGTGAAGTGGCGTGTGCCACACAGGTGCCAGAGGGCTGCACCGGAGCCAGCCAGGCGCGTGGGTCACTGCCGCTGTCTACGAGCGTCTGTCCAGGTTCATAGCGGGACTCCTCGCGCTGCTGCTCCCCAATCCTCTCCGCAGGTTTCAGGCTCTGCAGCCGCGCGTGGATGGCTGCCACCTCCTGTGCGCCTCTGTTCCAGTCTTCCACACTTAGGACATCCATGTTTCTAAACGAACCCGAAAAGTAGGAAAAGTTTACCCGACTGAATCTATATCAGTTTTTTTGGAGGCACCCACTGCTTTCCTGTCGCACTTTGTGAGTAAGACTGTCGCGTGCGGGACTCCTTCTCTGATGTCTCAAGGCGCCGCGTCCGTTTAAAAAGCGGCACGCGCCTGGGAGCCCCCCTCCTCGCGCTGGTCGCGTGTTGACGTCCAATGAGAAGTCTCGGTAAGGCCCGAGAGAGGTGATTATGGCCCCCGAAGCCGGAATGTTTATGATAACGTTACAATTTAAGGAGTGTTTAACGCGAGGGATGTAAGGGGAACCTCCCACAGGACGCACGTGCATGCGGTGACGGTTTTAGGTAAGAAGCGTGGTCCACGCGACGCGAGATTCACAGCTTGGACATAATTAGCCTATTACCTGCGTGTGCATGAGTAAGGGGGCGGAAAAAGAGTGAGGAGAAAGGTTGAAAAGGGTTAATTTACTATCACTAACATGTTTCTCTGTCTGGCGTAAAGGCTGTATTTCATTTTGCATCCCATATTTACTGTAACCCCAACTCCAAAGTTTGAGTCAAGAAAGAAGAAATCACATATTCGTTGAGACAAAGGAATCTAACATAATAAATGTGCCCCCTAATCAGTTCAAATAATGATGCTTCATCTCAGTATTTGTCCAATTTGAATGAATAACGTTATTTCATGTGTTGATGAAATTAACAAAGTTGAGGGAGAAAAGCCTGCCAAAAAGAGCTTGGGGCTAAGAAGTTGCTTGATCAACAGTCAGCTGATAAAACTTTGGGGCTCCTGGGGCTCGCGCACTCACTGTCAATTCATTCATTCTCAGATCATCTCCAGTTTCCATTTTTAATTTTTCGCGGATCTCAAACGGTTTGATCCAGCTCTCGCAACGCCCTGCCAGTAAAAAGGGCTTCACAATGGAAACGTGAGCAGGGGGCTCGCGCTCAACACTGTTACGAGCTGTATGTGGCGCAGCGCACGGTTGCAACGGCAATCAGCGAGATGTACATGCACGCGCACAGCACAGACGCAAATACTCGCACAGACCAAACACGATGTTTAGATGAGACAATATATTATTTCCGATATTCACTATTAATTATTCAAAAAAAAAGGGTGCTCACAAGATAAAAGGGAATATCGTAGCCCATAGCTTGGCAAGAAAAACTTTGGACACATTGAAGCTGTAACAGTCTACTGATCAAAGGGACCATGTTTACAGAGACCCAAACATTAAGACTAACCTTAAAAATGAACAATGGTCTAATTACTGGGTGGAAATGGGCAGTTTCACCTAATTGACACGGTGGATTTAGGGATAGAACTAGATACAGTGGCCCAATGTATGAGCCACAATGACCAAGGGATGGTACCTGTTGCTGCCCAGTCCAACTTATCACAACATTAAATGAAGTAATTGCAAAATGCAATGCACGAAAATGTTATAGAAGCAGGATAAGACTACATTTAAAAAAAACATTTATATTCAAAGACATAAACTGCTAAGCTGTGATAGACATGTGGGGTTCATTCTTTAAAGACAATGCTGCTTTAGACTAGCTGGAAATTGTGGGACGAAATCCCATAATTCCAGAGATAACCCGACATCAATCTTTTGTATTTTTTATTCATGTATTCATCATGGGGACGTCTTGCGGGCTAGAGGTCTGGCGCCGAGCGTTCGCCCCCTCTTCCCACCTACAAGCCCCCATCCAACGGGCCGGGCCGGGCTCCTGAAGCTACCGACAGGTTGGATATTGTAGCTGGCGATTATTAAAGTGTCGGAGCCACAATGGAGACTCTATGTTCCATTGGTCACGCCTGGGGGGCTCCTCGAGGGAGAAGGGAGGGAGGCTCCCATTCCAATGCGCGAGAGGAGTCTGCGTGCTGCCGCTTCTCATTCCCATCTCCCGGGAGACAGGGGCGCGACGGGCACGAGACCGGAGTCAGAGGAGCTGGACAGAGATTTCAACATTTAACTGAAGCCCTTAGCCTTAGCCTAAATTGTATTGTTTTTGTAGAAATGCTAGGAAAAAAAATGTATTTCGAAGCTCAAAAGTTTGCCACACCTAAGGAGACTTTCTTCTCTACACACTTTTACGTTTTCCTAGAAATACCTGAAAAAGTACTATTGAAAAGTAACAATAAAAACACTTTGCAAGTTTTTTTTACTTTACTTAAAGCCCTGTAATCAACTTAAGAATGATGTGTTACCATAACTCAAATATTAATTCAACTTAACATCTTCTCAACCAGCAACCTTATAATGCTAATTAGCATTATAATTTGATGCTATACGTGAATACATTTTAGATAGTAGCCTATACTTTAAGGCCTTTATGTTAATTAATTACAATTATGCATTCGGGACATTTTGTTTTGAATGTGTCCAGTGTTGTATTCAATCTTAGTAAAATATTCATTTATCGACGTCCAAGTTGTTTATATCCTATTAAACATGTTGAATGCATACACTTTTAACAAACAAAAAGGAGAGCATGAGGACTTTAGGTACAGGTTTACTCTTCATAGAATTACAGATAATGATAATTATGCTGACTAGGATTTTTCTCTGCCTTGTACAATAAGAAGACAATATCTTGCACTATATCAAGTTGATTATCACATAATGTGTCAAGTGAAATTATAAGCACCATAAATATCTGTTATATTTATTCCTTCCATTAATTTTCAATATCTGTCATTTATCATGAGGAAAAAGCATAAACAGAGACTTGAGGTCTAAGACAATGGGGAAGGGCTAAATAGTGGCACCAACTGGTTAAACTGGAGAACTTCTATGTAGTGCTCCACTGAACTTGACAGCATTGGTCCGCAGCAGTGTGTCTATCCAGCTGTTAACAGCAGTACACAGGCCTTTGAAGTGATGGGCCATTTGAAGTGAAAGACACAAAGGCTTTGCTCATGCTTGATCTTAAAATATATTCCACGCATCAGATCATCTCATATCGCAAAAAAAACCAAACATTTAAATTGTTATGGTTGGTTTTTGTAATTTCACTTTTACCCTTTGTCCGAAATCTATTAGGTTTAATGTTGAAGCTATAAGCAGGATACTACAACCAACTTGCAATAATTAAATGACATACTATATGTATCAATCCATTTTAGAAAGAAGTTTTCTTTTATTGCTCATAATTAAAATAATGTCAAAAGAGAGAATAAAGGAGAATCACCTTTTAACCTTTTGATAAAAGCAAGACCTATCTGGATCAACTTACCGGTAAGATGTGACTTGTGCAGAGTTGGTTACCATTTCTAAGAGAGTAGACGAGTCACATGCGCTGGAATCAGAAAGCTGAGGAGAGGACAAACTTTGCCACTTTATCTAGAAAGGGAAGCTGTTATGTCGTCTGGAATCTTTGATCAACATTGACTGCACTTATTTGAAAGGTGGAAAGTTGTTCTTTAGTGAGGTGCCTCTATATTTGAATGCTTGTTTTCAGAAAATGTACAGACGTTTGAAGCAAACAGAGAAAAAGACAAAAGCAATTTAGCATTAAGGAAAACGTTACTTTGAGGAGTCAAAGTAGTGAAGACACGTTTCTGAATTTTGGAGGATTCATGCCAGAGGTGAGGCGATAAATTACAAAGAATCTTTACCGGTATTCAAATGTGTTGATAAATGACATGATGTAGATTTATTCACCATATTTCTGTATAACGTTGTCTTGCTTACCACAAACAAGAAAATACCATACCTCTGTAGAAAACCTGTTTATTAGACAAATTATACACAGAAAGCTTTGCCACTTGTAACAGAGGCCCCAGTTTGTTCAGTTTTTGAATAATATGCAACACATACAACAAAATAGGCCTATATTAAATACTGTACATCATACATTTTTGAAAATTATCAAGTAAATCCTGTAGTTCTATGTATGAAATAAAAAAAATGTTAACAGATAGCGCAAGAGCAAGTTTGTGCATGCTTTCTTTTTAATCAACTTGCCACTTTTTGTTATTTAGCCAGCAAATAAAAAATGAACTCAGAATGACATGATAAAAGCAAATCGTTTGTGTTGACATGGGCAGAACAGGTAGAAACCAAATGGGACTGCTTAACTCTATACTATAGCTCATTATGATATACTCTTTTCTTTTTGTTAAACAAAAATAGCATCAACGTGTAAAATATACATTTTTATAATGTCTCTTTCATTTATACTAAATAAAACATTTGAAATGTCTGTGTCCTATTTGTCATTCAATAGCCATACTGTAGCCTAAGAAAAATAATGCCTAAGAATGCTTGCTTCAAAACACTGTGGCTCGACTGAGTTCTCTACGCACAACATTTTGCAGTTTTAGTTCTTAAAGATAACAAACTGAAAACTGGTTCTAAACAACTAACATTATCATTTATTAATACAGTGTTAGTGAAAAAGATTTGGTTCCATTTTACCACCCCACCCCCTAATCCACAAAATATTCCTTTAATGATCTCAATGTCCCTTTCCTCTTCCCCCGCCACAAAATGCACCTTAATGGTCTGGTTTGAATTAATTGGCACTTAAAAAAAACAAGTTATATAAACAGTACCCTTAACATTACAGATATGAAATTAAGTATATTTCTGACTTATCTCACAAAAGGCAGACACTGGGTTCTGATGGGCGTTGATTCTTTGTGACATTCCTATGACCCTTAGCGCAACGACTGAATTGCTGCACTAAAATGTTTCCAGTTTTTAGTGATATTTTAACTGGAAGCCGGGAGGATAAAGCTAGCTATAGTTGACATACGTGTAAGGCCTGTACTGAAGATGCTGCTGCAATGGCTTCTCCAAAACACAAATGATAGTCCCTTTCATCACATGAACCTGATAAAAAGTGATTAATGATCTCCAACATGACACAACCTCACATAATGAGCTTTTATCTTTTAAACACCCAGGCTATGGCAGCACTTAACTTAAGCAAAACAAAGAAAAAGAAAAAGTAAAAGTTGGAATGACTTATAATGCAAAACCAGAGACTACAGCACTCATTTAGCAGTTTTTCAAAGTTTGCTGAGAGAAAAAAAACAAGTAGACAGCTCAGAACAATGTTATTTTTTTGTACTTCCTGACCAAAACACATTCCACGCATTAAATCTATTTTTTTCAAAAACAAAACTCAATAAAAGACATATAATAAGCATACGCTTTTGGAAGTCTTTCGGCTTGTCTTTTATGTTTTTTCTTCTTTAAGTTCTTCTTGTATCATCCCTTTTTATTATCCCTCTGAGAGTTTGATAAGAGGATCTCACCTTGACTTTGAAAGCAGAGAGCACAGTACAGGTGAGAAAGAAAAGGTCAGATCTACATACAATCACTTACAGGTCTGTGGGCACTGGTACAGTGCAGTGGGGCTGACAAAGAGTCTTCAATGTGCATCAAAGTGTTGAAAACAGTTTCAGACAGATGCACCAAAATGGCAGAAATAGTTAAAGACCGACGCACCAAACTGGTGATTCAGTGTCATATTGTTGCACTGTCATGGCGTTTAAGCAGTATTCAGATGGATGCTCCGTGATGGGGTCAGCGTGAGTTCAACTGTAACGTCTCAGTTTAGTCTGGCCACCGTATTGACACCACCTTGGACGCATTTAGTACCCCAAGTATCGGTGAAGCAAGAGAAGAGAAAACTTAGTATGGACTCCCACAAAGTGAAAAGGCAGAGTAAAAGTTGAAAAGTGGAGTCTTCCGATATTCACTGAGATCAGGCCTTTTCAAAACTGCAAGGGGCTGCTGTATGTATTCCCAGGGCTACCGACAAAATTATAGTTATAAACGCCTTCATAAAATAACAACTCAATAATTGCTTAGTAGTGTGAGCCCCTTAGAATTGTTTAATGGCTAACAACATCACCAGTCATCCACCAATGGCAGCCCTGGAGCTCACAGGAATATACATGTTTCCTGTGGTAGGAGTAGTGTAAACTAAACCCTCCAAGGGGGATTTAGATCATAATAGTCAGGTAATTTCAGCAGATCTCCATTACATGAGGCAGTCCTCATAATGTAAAACAGAAGCAATAGAAAAAGATCCCCTTTCACACATGTCCCTAAAAATAATCCCCCAAACAATCACAAGAACAACAACAACAAAGCAAAGTCAACCCTTCCCACCCCCTTCCCTTTATGCACCTTACCAGAATGTTTGCAGGAGGATAAGGAACGCCCAAATAGACCTCCACCTCTTTTGTCTTCTCGACATAAAAATTGGACACCCCTGGAAACACCCAAGCAGAAACTAAAAACATAAAGATTCCTATGTACACCTCTCTAGCAGATTTTTTTAGCTTAGCCATAAAGCATTTGTTCTACCATCCCATGACCGACCCTAACCACCTCGCCTCCTTCTGCTCCTATTCCTCCTGAGCCAACCATATCCTTAGAAACTCCTCATATGGATGTGCCCCTGTCGGGGTCATTGCCATATCCAAAGTTGGGTCCTGGACCTGTGGACTGGTAGGGGATGGAGGACATTGTTTTAATAGGGCTGCGGAAGAAGCCACCGTTGGGGGCTCTCTGCCTAAAAGGGCCCACCCCACCAGTCCGGTGGTCCTGGAGGACGCCGCCACCGCTGCCGAAACCAGTTGAAAATCCAGCAGCGGCTTTGGCAGAGAGGGTGCGGCTCAGGGTCTGGATCTGCTCGGGGATGAAGGTGGTGGTGGTGATGTGGGTGTTGCGGAAGTCGCTGATCTGCTCGAGTGCCTGGCGTGCCGCAGGCAGGGCATCCATATCAAGGGGCGTTAAATCGATGGAAGAGGTGGAGAATTGCTTGTGGGGGCTTTCATCATCGGTGCACAAGCTGTTAACCCGGCGGTGTAGGTGCTCCAGGTCGATCTCCTTATCGTCCTGCAGGTGGGAGGGGCAGGGGAGTAGTAGAACGAAGAAGAGGAAGTGGTGATGGTAAATGGAAGAAGGGAATGAGAAGTTAGAAAGAACACATTGGAACGTAGGATTTAAAAGGGATGTTTGAGGAGAAAGATCCAGGGTTAGTGTTTAAGGGTGGGAGATGAAGGTGAGGGAAGTGGTGAAGTGAAAAGAAAGAAGAAAGAGGATGTGAGGGATTATTCAAGGAAAGTTTGATAGGAAGGCAATGGGAGAGAGAGGGTAAAAATGAGTGGAGGAAGAGTGAGGGTAGTGCAAAAAAAAAAGTAAGGACATGGAGAGAACAGTGAAGGAAACATGAGAGTACGTGCAGAGAGGGTGTATTTTTTTAAAGAATTAATGGAAAAAGGGTTGTGTGTAATTTGTATTCAGCAAAAGGGCCAATCAACCAGTAGAAATGGGTAGAGAGAAAATTAGTAAAAGAAAGAAAAGGCCAATGCAGGTGAGGACATTTTGGCATGCATGTAGCCAAACAAAAGTGTTGGCACAATTAAAAATGAGACCCATGTTGAGTTAGGAGAGAAAGTGAGGATGGCACAACATAAAGTTATTAAAAAAAAAGTTTGGTGGTCATTGGGAACCATACATGTGACAGGAAGCAAGGAGAGCAAAAGGGAGGAGGGGAAAGATGGAGGGAAGAGAAGCACACTATGAGCTGTGGTGAGGATATAGAAGGAGAGAAACATACACACACTTCTACAAGGTCTTTAAGGGACTGCAGATAATCTGGAATACACACAGAAAACACACCACCATCATGCTGTGCGCTCTGCGATTCCAGGGGGCTTGTGCTTGGTCTACTGTCCCTTACAATAACATAACATTACAAATAAAACCTCCTTTACATAAGCCAGTTCAAATGCTTAACGATACCTCACCTAACCTATGTATCTTTCCTGCTTATTGTCAACATTGCATCAAGGCCAACATGCCAACAAATTCACATTGAGATTGACATCTCGTTTTCAGGTGAAGTTTTTCCAGGCCACATACAATATGGCTCCTTTATCAAATGCATTTTAGAAGATAGATTATTAAACTTCAATCAAACAATATTTAACAGTTCAAAAAGAAAGTGCATATATCAACTTAGGCTTTACCTTAACTTGCAGTATATGTTAAATGAGACTTATAATTACTATATTCACATATTCATTCAAGGATGGTTACACTCACTGAGAGGTGATGCATGCCTTTACAGGGGACAGTGGTGTGAGGGAGGTGAGTACGCAATGAATGAGGTGAGGATAGCGAGAGGAAAAGGCTTTGCTGAAATGTACTAACTCCACACACATGGCAAGGTGCTTCTCTGGCTTTATGGAAGGTAAGGGTCTGAGAGTTAGGTCTGTGGAAGTGTGGGGTGTCACATCAATATAGGTGTACCATTAAGGTTCACACTTTGTGTAACGTCACAGGGTTTTGTGAGGAAGGGAGTCACATTATTGGGGGTAAAGATAGAGTTACTGACCGTGTCCTTTAGGTCTGGGGGTCTGGAGGGGGCTCTGGACCTACTGTATGAAGCTCACGGGCAGAGGGGACAAGCAATGGTGCCCCCTGGTTGCCATCTAAGGAAGGGACAGTGGGAGGGAGGAGAGGACGAGGGGGCGCTAGTGTTTGTCGTGACACTATTATAAACACACTTTACATTTGACGGAGGGGATATCCAAAGGGTAGAGTTGGTATCAAAGAAATGAAGGGAAATGAAAAAGAACAGTGAATCACAAATGGTCAGTCTGCTGTAAGTTAAAGGACACTAGTGGGAATATTTAAGGACTGAAAGGTACTGTGAAAGGAGAAGTGTAAGGCTTCTGTGGAAAAGAGGGGGAGGACCTGACCACATTTATATTATTGTGAAGGAAGATTTCCTACAGTATAAAGCCCACTGAACTAGTCAACACTGATCACCTGATCATGACCTATATTTACATTAACACAATTATAAATCTAAATGTATCTGAATATCTGAAATGTATTCACATCTATTGTGTGCAATATAAAGGCTTTATATTGGATGCCACAGCCAAGTTTACACAACAAACTGTGTTTTGGCTTCATCTAGTAATATGACTTTTTAGTAAATCTCCATGTTACATGAAGTAAATACTTAATTGAAGGCTTCTCACCTTCAGGTTTCAACATTATACTTTACTTGCTTCTATATAGAGGGACAGTACCCTCTAGAGGCAGGAAAGCATCATTGCACACATAGTCAACCGGCAACATGCCAGGTGTATAAAAGTTTTTGAAAGAGGTATTTTTGTATCCAGCAGTAAGCTTTTCTGTGAACACTACATTTTGAACCTTGCAACTTAATGTCCATTGTTCCTCTTTATACCTTTTCACTCCTTTATTATACTAGTTCTTCAAGCGTTACTAACCAATGATTTATTTCTATCCTCTATTGTATGTATAACCTTGGGGTGGGAGGTGAGGTGGTGAAGGTGGTCATTCTCATTTTGGGGGTGAGCTCGGAGGGGTTGGTGTGTTCGTAGGAGTGCTGCACGATCAGGGCACAAGGAATGTCGCAGCATGCCGGGGGCTGGTAGTGGGTGGAGGGGGCATGGGTGTGGCCCATGCTGGGGTTCTGGTTCAGGGTTTGAGCGCCCAGGGCATGAGGGCGCTCATTTGTGGTGTGAGGGCAAGGATCAGCAGCTTGCCTGGCAGATGGGCCATCTGCCTGCTCCTGGTGTTAGTTTGTGAGGTGCATGTGTGTGTGTGTGTGTGTGTGTGTGTGTGTGTGTGTGTGTGTGTGTGTGTGTGTGTGTGTGTGTGTAAAAAGGACAGGAGGAAAGAGACAGAGTTATGGGAGAGAGATATGGAGTAATTTGTATACATGTGTTTGTGTGCATGCAAGTTGAGTGGGAAGTTTAAAACCCCACAAAATAAAGAAGCCAAACAGAGACACAGGTAGACAATCAGCAGCCGGGCGGAGACAGAGAAGGGATGAGTGACAGACAAGATCAGGCAGATGAAAGGATTTTAAGGTTGAGGAGAGAGAGAAGTCAATTGGAGAGACAAACGGGTGGGGGGTGAGCGAGAAGAGAGACACGGCAGTCAGTCAGCACACACAGTTAAGCAGGTCGTCTGTGTCGTGTCCTCAGAGAGACATTCACACAGTGGTTATATACCTGGAAAGGGGAGATGTTTAAATGGCATTTTGAATTGTTCTCCCCCTCTCTCTCTCCCCCTCGCCCGCTACACCCCTCAACACAGAGTACTTATCTATAAAAACAAAACAAAAACAAATATGAGAGCTTTGAGCCACAGTGACACAGATCATTGTGTAGAGTTAGAACGAGGAGGCCGGCAACTTTCATCCAGACCCCAAAGAGAAGAGGTCAGCTGTTTTAGTTGTACCAACGATGATGATGATGATACACAAGGAAGTGCCTGCTCTACTCGTGCTAAATCTACTTGGATTATATGAAAAATCAGACATGGTCAAAACCACAGACATAATCGTTATGGAAGAGTTCTGACAATGGCAATATGCAGTATAATGGTTACAGGTTTGAACTTTTAGAGATGCGGTTGAATCCAATGACAGAACTCTTTCATATAAACCTCTCATAGAACATATATATATATAGGCCTGAAAGGGTAAAGCAATACAGCTGTCCTGTTATGAATGAAATGGGTCTTAGACACTCATTTGGAAAACATTTGTCAAAGGAATCAAGAATCAAGAGGTCCAAATTTAGACAAGCTTCCAAAGCAGCATACATATACAGTCCTATCATTATGTTTTTGTAGATGGGGTATATCCAGGAAGTAGTTATTGTAGTTCACTAATACATTGAACTCATAAGTGAACTATCAAACATCCCAAGATCGCAGGGCTGCCTTGGAGACTGTTAGACAGTTCTCCCTCCACCCTTTATTTTGTATGCATATCCTTGTGAAATGTGCACATGATACAGCAGAGGTGACCCACAGGAGTCAACTCTGTGGAAATGTGTTTATTTGTGTTTATGAATGTATATCTCATTAACAATTCTATCGGCATATATTGAGATGCAGCCTCACAAATAGCAATGTCAGCCGTTCCACAACACATAGCACAGACACAAACACTGACATATAGCTCACAGTCAAAAGCAGTTACCACAGCATTACACAATGATTGTAAAGGCATGAAGAGACATTATGTATGTTTTAATATGCAGAAGAAACACAGAGAAACAACACTTACAGATTAGATGTATTATAGCTTGAATCGTGGATTGTGGGTTTTCATGTATAAAGTAAAGCATGGGTGTATGTGTGTGGCATGAGGGGATGGTGTCTTTGGCCTTACTATCAGATGGATGGATGTAGAAATTATGTATGGCTGTGTGGACTGATTGCTTCCATCTAAAGACGTGTATATGTCACTGAAAGAATGAGCTGGAAACCACCCTTTTAAACATGTTTAAAACACGCTGAACAAATGTATATATTGCATTAATGGGGTTCTTGGTATGTTATATCTGACACAAATCTGTTCATTATATTGACACAAGCCTGACATGTAGCAAGAGGAGAGGTAAAAGCGAAGCAATGTATGCATGCATGGGAGAGAGCATGCTCATTGGTGTGATTGTGTGTTGCAGTATGAGTGGCCAATCTGTTTTTCATCTTCAAGGGAGACAAATTAGGATGAGTCTGTTATTTGGTAATTAGAAGTGATTAGCATTCTCAGTGTACTTTTGAATACATTATTCAGAGGTTTTATTCAATGAGCATCTGTGATAGGCAAGACCCAACTGATAATCATAATGACATAACTGCACTCATAGTGCATCAATCCTTTTTACATTTAGTGCACTTGCTCATTTGCAATTAAGCCAATCTAAGAGATAGATTACAGAGTATCCAAGTTAATTAAACATTATTTAGTATTCTATGTAGCAACATGGTTTTTAGTGATTTCCACAATCACCATGATGGTTTAAAAGACATACTGTCAGTCTGCCCTAACACAT